TGGGGGAGGAGTTGGGGGAGGATCGCATGGTTTTCACAGCCAATTAGCTGACAATGATGGGGAGGGGGGGGGAGCAGAAGAATATGCGAACAAAGCCTTATGGGGGAGTCAGTTAATTGGCCGTGAAACCGTGAGATCCATGAGATCCATGAGATCCATGAGATCCTGGAGACGTATATATACATTCTCAAATAAAAAACATTACCTAGAGCCCGGTTGTTCGCGATGGCTTGAATAAATTTTCCGGGGTTGTTGAGAAATTCGATATAGCTGCCGGTTGGAGAGGGTGTCTGGCTGTGGTAGGGAAGGGCGTAAGGGTCAGTTATGACGTATGAATATCCAACACCTTTTACCCATTCGCTCATCCATCCATCCATCGCCACCACCGATAAATCAATCAAAACGGTTACCGCTTTACTCGGTCATAGTGTGCTAGTACTCACCGATTCTTACATTTGAAACAGCAAGCAAGAGTTTAATGGCTTCCTCTAAAGTCGTTTTAATATTACTAAGATCGACTTACCATCTCGGTTCTGACAAATAACAGCAACAACATAACTAACTTCGCATGGTAAGTTAATAATCGCTGATTCATTTTTATCAAGGTGCACGCATGTTTTCTTCTGATTCTCTTCTGGATAACCCGATTTCCATAGATTAGGATTGATAGGCGATCCATCCATCCACTTCCAGGAATCCAGATCTGTCGAAACCCGGTCTAGGTAAAGCTCTTTTTCTTCAAAGTCCGATGTAAAATTTTCGAGTAGATCGGATAATCCTTGGCGTTTTAGAGTGGTATTAACCGTAGCTAAGCGATAGCCATCACTTGAGCATATCTTTGAGGCGTTAGCCCAATTGGAACGAGCTGTGTGGTAAATCTTGTAACAGTGGCCATTGTTATGGGAAACACCCGCTGCGCAGGAGATCTCTGCTGAAAGATACCAAATAGTAATGGATTTACGATAATAATGTACCCCTTTCCGAGTCGATAAATGAAAATTTCCAGAGAAGCACATAGGATTTTAGAGATTGTGCTAACACAACTTTTGGCATAATTTAAACAAACTGGCATAGTTTTTCCCGTTTTTTTAAAAATTAGCACCGCTAGCATAATTCGCATATTTTGATAATTATCGGATCATTTTTGATCCTACAGTTTGATCATGTTTTATCTCAAGTCTCACTTGCTGACGTTATTCGATGTTTAATGTTTTGGTGCAATTAGTAGCATTTGCAGTTCACTGATCCCGAGGACTGGGGCCTTGGGGGCACCGGAACCGGAAGTCTCCTTGTAAACCATGTCGGTCCCGGTACCTCTCATTAGGCAAGGCTACAAAATGGCGTCGGCCAAAGAGTTTTTAGCCTGCTTTCGGCGTCTTTCCATGAGAAGAAGGAGAATGCACTTTTTGACTACTTGCAAGTAAGTGTAATGCTGCATTATAACAACCGCAGATTAGCTACATTACCAGTGTGCACGTATATTAGTATATTACCAGTGTGCACGTAGACCAACGGATTCTGATAAACTGAATTATTTTTTGGACTTATTTGCAATTTTTTCAAAGAGCATAGTTTAAAATAAGGGGCATAATTTGGAAAAATGAGCATAATTTGGTCAAAACAGAGCAGTGCCACTAGCATTATATAATACTTTTACCAGCACAATCTATAGCAGCCTAGAAGCATTCGCCTTCCTTATAGAAGTGCGTCGCATCAAAAACAAAAAATCAGAAAAGACCGCGCCCGAGAAAATTCGGTACCTGTTAAAGTTTCGCAGATAAATCCTCTAAGCAAATCGCATTTCGTTGTCTTCAGCCACCATCCATACAAGTCAGAAGAAAAATTGGCCACAACACATTTTCCTAGAGTGATGTTGGGTTCTCCAGGCCTCCATAAGGCAGGATTTAAATGGTCTCCACTGGTGGACCATTTCAAATCTAGTCGAAAACTGTCGTGAGCACCAAGCAGATGTGATCCTCGACGAGCCACAGTAATGTTCCTCAACTTGTCAAGAAGGGAGCGATTGCGAGGTATAGCGAGGTCCGAGCCCGTCTCAAAGCACTTTTTACGTGCTGAATTTAAGATGTCGTATCCTTGATCTTTATACTTGGTGGCGTCTTCATCAAATGACTCGACCTTAAAGCAGGACTGACCGATTTTGTACCATCCAGGGAAACAGCGGCCTCGGCTTACTACAAGAATAGAGTGATAGTGATAAAATCATAAAGAAAGTTATCGCATATTTTGGTATCAGTTGCTAATTCACAAGTCTTGTAGTGTCCATAAATGATGTAAAATCAGGGCTATGTTGATACATCCGCGTAAGGACTCACGTACTATGGAAAGTAAAGATCAAGGTCCGTACCTGAGTAACTGTACACCCACCCCTCCCCTAATCAGACAACAGTCACCTAATAACAAGTTAAGGTTAATTTTACTTTAGGGGAGGGGTAGGTGCGCAGATACTGACGTTTATCCGAAATGAGTGGTGTTTGTAAATATTTCATGTATAGGCTGATTAGGCATGAAAACAACAACAGCTTTTAAAAAAGCTGTCAACTAGAAGAGTTGTGAAACAAATGTTAAGAGTAACTTAAAACATAAAACTTCATTGTCACCAATCATGAGCACGTCTGTAGGACGTTTTTAATCACGTGGTGAGCAACTTTGTACTTTCATTGGAACAAACAAAAAACTGTTTGCGTAAGAACAGACTAGAAATCCCACAGGAATTTCTTGGTACACCAACGTGGCCACCATAGGGCCGGCGTTGAAACGTTATCATGGAAAACGATCTATGTTTCTTTTAGTTGACAAGTGTTTGAACGCGCTTTTCAAAAAGCTGTCAGCTAGAAGAGTTGTGAAACAAATTTTAGGAAAGAAGGTAACGGAGTCGTTTTTGAATGAAATATTTTTTCAAGGTTTTAGAAATTTACCATTAAAATAAAGTATAAATTCAATACCTGTGCAGACTGTAGATAAACAATTTAGCAAACAAAAAAGGACGAAGACTTGCAAGTGAAAATTTATCACAGATGCCATAATCTTGATGTCTGCTGATAGAGAATACAGATTGTCATAAACTTTTATAAAAAAACTTTTAAGCTTGTGAGCTATAAGTATGATGTTGCACGCTGAAGGAAAATTTGAATTTTGAAGAACACACCCTCTTCAGACAAACTGTTTGTTAACTGTATATAAAATTTGAGACTCGAAGACTTAAGGAAAAAGGTTAAATTCGTCTGTGATGGACGTGGGGTTGACAAAAACTTGAAACGAAAAGGACTTACATTCAAGACCATCTGTTTTGCATCTTCTGCTGAGTGACAGAAAACTGAAAGCAGGATAATTAACAAACCTCTTATAATACTTGCATGAATCTGTATGCAGTAAATGGCTTGAACCAGGGGGTAACATGTGAAGGTGTAGTCTGATCGTCCGGGTGAGTGTAGTCCTGAGAAGGACTGTTGTCGGTGGTAGTGACTATTACCCACTACCACCGACAACAGTCCTTCCCAGGACTACACTCACCCGGACGATCAGACTACATCTTCACATGAATCTGTATATAAGACGAAATTGGCGCCCTTCTCGCCTTAAGTTTTTCAGTAACTTAGGAGAAGAAGGTTACTTCTTTGCTCCAACCTCGTAAAAAAAAAAAGATTTTCAAAAATCTTTATGCTTGAACCATTAATATTAGCTACAAACGCTTTGGCCATATGGCGGTGGAGTTAACAGATGTTCAAATCCTTGTCCACAAATGATCATATCTATCAACTTCAGTCCTTTTTCTAACATAGCCAAAACGGTCTCTTTTAAGAGTAAAATATAAAGTTGTCTTTAAGGCCAACTACAATGATAATAAAGGAGCACTAGTAAAAACATGAAAACCATTCTCACGGATGTTCTTCGCATTTCATGCAGAGACTTGAATACGTCGAAATGCAAATAAGCTCCTGAAACGATGCCCGCTAATTTTTTTAAAAAATACTTTAAAAACATAAAAAGGAACAAAAAACGTATTTTTAACTTGTTTTCTTTTTCTCGCTTGTTCGATTTTTTTTAGTCTCTCCTTTTTTTTTATTCTAAGTTGAATTAAAAGAACGCAATTGTTTTTCTCTGTTCTGTTTTGCTTCACCCGTATTTCTATTGTTTTATTCCTTAATCCTTGAAGTTTTCGACGAAAAATTAATTAGCTTCCATAGCGCAGTATAAAATGTTTTTGAAACTCCTCACGACCTTTAACTATCTAAACTTCTACTGTGAAACTCTCTCACAACCTCTAACTACCCAAGATGTCACATCGCTAGAAGCGTACCGAATGTATGCTTCTCACGATCAGATTTTGTCTCTACGCTTCTAGTTTCAGCTCTTGCGTTCGAGATTTGGGTTAAAAATAATCAATTGTAAGCCATGCTTGGCGTTACCTTGAATCTGAATCCTGTAAGCTGATTCCAACTGCCTCCAACGAGGAGTTTTAAAAACGTTTCATGTCTTTCGTTGGAGGGGAGTAGAGAAATTGAATTTTTTATGAGGGAAACACTTTAAATTTAATTAAGATGCAAATTTATTTTCGTCGTAAAAATAGAAAGTTTTCTAATATAGATTTCTTTGCTGATAAATAAACAAAAATTCTAAAGTTGAAGTTTTGGAGTTCACAAATTCATCCTTAACAAGTTTAGTGTCTTGTTAGATGAAAAAGTTTGAAACATTTATAGATATAATGGCTAAACTGATTATTCTCACGGCCGGGAGCCGAACCACGCAGCCATCTGTTGCTTTTCTATTTCTATTTCAGTGGGAGGGGTGTGCACATGAGGTAAGAATGAGTAATGGGTGGGAGCATGATGCCATGGACCTCAACTCATTAAGCTTGCCCTTTTGAGACAAAATTAGATGAGTTATAAATCCAAAACTCATGCCGCATATTAATTCTTCTACAACAATGAAGCAGCAATAGCTTCGAAGCATATGTCTACACGATTTTCTCTGTACCATTCCTAAGAATTAACCTTCGTCTTCCCTCCTGTTTTTCCTGTTTTCCGTATTTCTGTAAGATAAGTTTCTTTTGAGTACTTGTAAATGTTCTTCTGATATACCGGAATAAAATTGCAATTTCATCTTAATTCCCAGGATCTGCCCCGGTGCACGTGCAGACAAATCCGTTGCTGAGCGAGCAAATGATTCAGCTCAATAGTCACTTGTAGAGAATGGAAATTTCATACCAGTAATAACGGTCTGCCGTTCAGGGAAGAAGGGTCTGGGTTTAGCTGTGGCCGGTCCATTGAGGTCTGTTCTTCGGCAACATACTTTACTCTCTGGCTTTGAGTGGGTGCTGGTGAACTTTTGGGGAAATCGGACGAAAGGCTCGAGAGCAGACTCCAACCCGTCTATCAAGTTCAGGGGAAGGACTCAGAGTCCAAAAGTGATGCATACAGTTCTAATGCTTACAAAGTATATTTCTGTAGTTTTAAAACTGATCATTAGGAGTATTTTTTCCTTTAACTCTTTTAACGTGCTTTGGTTTTCTTTTCATCCGGGGGTGTTGGAGGATTTTGGTTGAGTCGCGATAAAATTTACCTGGAAGGCCCCCCATAAGGCTCTGTATACGTGTTCCCTGAAAACCATTTGATCCACGGTAATCCTTCCCTCACCCCCATAAGGCTCTGTATACGTTCCCCCTGAAAACCATTTGATCCCCACAGATGCTTCCCCCCTCATAAGGCTCTGTATACGTTCCCCCTGAAAATCATTTGATTCTCGCAAATCCTCCCCCCCATAAGGCTCTGTATACATTCTCCCTGAAAACCCATTTGATCCCCGCAAATCCTCCCCCCCCCACAAGGCTCCGCACACGTTCCCCCTGAAAACCATTTGATTCCCCTAAATCCTCCACCCTCTCCTCCGATCCTCCCCCCTCCCCCTCCCCCCTCCAACCAGGTGATGAATAATGACTGGTCCCTAAAATGGCAGAGACCCTGTTTTAGATAGGCATGGGTTGATAAGGGAATCTTTTCCTGACCTGAAGAAACGTAGAAACTATGCTTAAAAGGTTCACTTTTTAATTCACAAGATGGCGGAAGATGGTCTCGATTTCTGTCAAGTCTCAGGTTGTGATCATTTCAACTCGTTTCGTCGCAATTATTAAAACTCTTTTCCAATAAATAAGTGGCAAACGCAACAGTGTCAATTTTTTCATCCGCTTCCACAAGGGTAGAAAAATTGTTTCCTTATGGAATATGTACTCTTTAAAAACACACCTATGGCAAACGTTATGGCATAGAAAGGCTAGAAACCGGATGTTTTTTGGTAACTTAGAAGTGCTCAGGTCACGTTCAATTTCAACAAAGTGCAGCCATTTATTATTTGGTAAAAATTCTAAAGACGACCATTGGTGGTTTAGAATAAAAGAAACAAGCTCAAGTCTTCATTTCATTATCACTTCCAAGGAATTTAAGAGGGAGTTAGAGAAGGGATTTACCTCTAAGTAAAGGGTCTGTGAGTTGCAATAAGAAGTTTGATCCTTTGCCTATTCTGTACTCTCCCCGTCCCTGACACAGAACAAAGAATAACAGCTGTTTTAAGTATTTTAATATATTTAAACTTAACGTCAAAGCACGAATGCTTAGAAAATACATTCATTTGAAGGTAAACATACCCTCTCTAAAATAAAATTCAAGATTATCTGGATTGCATGCGAAATTTTCAGTGATAAAAAGAAATCTCATATCATCACTCTTCACTCAGTTGGCCAATTCGTTGCATCGGTACTTCTCCTGCCAAACATTAACCATTGCACAGAAGGATCGAAACTAAATTAGGTGATCTGTATGCTGAGAAATTCTGCATGGTGTGGTCAACTTCAGCCATAGTACTGGCGTGGTTGAAATGTCCATCTCCCCGTGTTTCAATATGTTTGTCTAGTCTTGAGGTATTCACCCTGCAGTTAAAAGTAGAAAACGCTTTCATTTCTAAACTACCCATTTAAAGATGACTGGGGAAAGGTCGAGGAAAGTATAGAAATAACATGCAAGATGATTGGGTTAGAAGAGATGAACATGGCGGTAATATCGCATGAGTCTTAATCATGGGATCCCAGACCTATTTTTGAAATTTTATATTTGACAGGAATAACCTCGTGTTAAAAATTTTGGCCCAAACGGTCTGTTCATCGAGTTTTGTTTGACCATCAACCCCTCCTTTTAATACTCAGCCTTTTCATGCGGCGAAACATGTAAATTCTGTAATAGTTGTGCGGAAGTTTTACCTCAAAACGTATTCAGTAATATCCTTATAACAGAAATATATCTCATTAACCAAGCGCAAGGGCCGTACTGGGAGAATATCGGCCCGAGGTCTTGACAGTACGGACGTCGCTGCGCTCCGTCAGTACAAAAAAGATAGAGGGCCGATATTCTTCCAGTACGGTCCCGAGCAAGCTTGGTTAATAAGAGATTTATTATACGACTGAAGTTCAAAGGGAACCAACTGCGGTATCATTCGGGACCATTCGGGACAGTGCCCGGTCCAATACTGAGAGAATATTGACTGGCAATAGAGCATTTTGATTGGTTGATTTTAGTTATTGGCCCTCTGACTGCCCGAGTCGTGAAATAAAAAGAATTACTGACCCTTTATTTTTAGTGTCTCCCTGACTACTGGCTTTCATATCACTCTCATCTTCCAAAAATGTTATTTTGTAAGCATCCGTGTTTCTCCTGGTTTTCAGGGTGCTAAAGGTGCTCTCCTGTAGACGATGCGAAAGAAAGAATTAATTACACGCTTGAAATATGCATGTAAAAATTATTGAAAATCAATAAAATTCAAAAAAGAAGCAGAAAGTGAAAGCTGGCAGCAGGATATCATAATAGTCTTCGTGTACGTCGTCTTGCGCTTCAAGATCGCTCTCATTTTCATTCGCTCTTGCGTCTCGCGCATAGAAAGGCAAATATCTCACCTCACATGATGACTCAGAAGACTTGCTTTCGAGCCCATTTTGCAATAGGTCAATTTTGAACTGCTTGTCCATCTCTCCTGTTAGCTTGGCCATCTCACGTTCAACTGAGCCAATCGTCAACTGAAGCGAACTCTCCTTTTTGTTTTCCACGTACTGGGTCTCCTTTAGTAGGTCATGTTCTCGTGATACTTTTCCATTAAAGGTTGTAACTTTTTCCTCTATGACTGCCTTTTCATCTTCAAGTAAGGAGATCCCAGCTGCACCCTCTCGAAGGTCCATCTTCATCTCCCAAAATTGTTTGCGCGATATAGCGGTTAAAACTGCTCTGTGCAGGTTTGCCTTCTCGTTCCTGCTAAATTCAAGTTGGGTCGACAAGCGTTTCAATTCGTCTTGCATCTCTTCCTCATCTCGGGTTTTTCTCGTTACACAAGTTTTAAGGTTAACGCATTGTTCATTCTGCTTCTCGATGATGGATGTTGCAATATCTAACTCTTTTTTCAATTCTGCAAGGGCAGTCTCAATGCGAGTTATCTCTGAGCTTTTCTCCTTGTTTGCTTGTGTCAGTTCTTCAATCTCTTTGCTCCTTAGACCTAATTTGGCCTCCATGGCTATGAGAAGCGAGCATTTGCATTGCAGGGTTTCATTTGCGTCATCAAGGTTGGCTTCCCTTTCTTTTAAGTTCCATCGTGTCTTTTGAAGCTCGTTTTCCTTGTCTCTAAGACGCTGTATGAGGTAGACATTTTGGCAATTAATATTTTCAAGCTCCCGTTGCATGGACGAGAATTTCTTGGCACTGTCTTCGAAATTACTCTTTAAGTCTTCCATGACTTCTTCTCTTTCATTCAAATCTTTCCTTAATTTGTCTAACAAACGCTCTGCATGGGCTTTCTTCTTTTTCATCACTAGGTTCGATGCGTACACCTCTCTTGGTCTTTGTACAAAGTTCTTCAGACGTTTTCCCACGTGTGCTATTAACGAATCCTTCCCCTGCGTATCTCTCTTTGTCCCTTTCTGAACGAGATTCGGTTGATTAGCAGTACCCCCTCTAGCCTTAACCTTCCTCTTAAAACACTTTTTGTCCGAATTTTTGTTTTCTATTTGTTCAATTAACCCTTTGATCTCATGACGAGCCTCCTCCAATGAACATTCTCTCTCTCTAAGAGACCTTAAAGTCTCTTTTCGAAGGTCATTCATCTCTTGTAATTGCATCTCCAGTTTTTCAATTTTCTCAGTCAATCTTTTTTCGTTATGGGAATTACACTCAGAAACCTCCACAGCCACTCTTAGAGTTTCTTTTTCAGCCTTTTCCCGTTCCAGTTGTTCTGTGAGCATATCGATAGCGGCATTAGCTTCCTGTAGTGAACTTTCGTTGTTCTTTAGTGAGGTAAGAGTGGCGTTTGTTTGGTCATCTCTTTCACTTAAGTGATTCTCTAGATGTTCAACTCTCAACTTTAGCACTTTCTCTCTATAAGAACTACACTCTTTAGCTTCCATAGCCCTTTTCAAATGCTCATTTTCTGACCTTTCCTGTCTCACTTCAAGAACCAAGGCATCAATTGAGTGAACTGCGTTTCTTTTCATGTCATCCATTCTTTGTAACTGACTCTCAAGTTCTCTTATTCTCTCGGCCGACTGTAGTTCGAGGTGGTCCTTGTCCGATTTTTCCCGTCTTATCTCTTCGATTAGATTTTTTATCGTTTCATCTTGCTTCTTTATAATGCGGTAATCTTCCTCCATTTCCTTCTCTTTGCTGTTCGCAGACGCCTCCGCCGCCTCAGTTACATTTTTCAACCGATTCTTTAAAAGATCCACTTTTTCTCTTAGTTCAGTCAACTTGTCATCCTTTTCGCACGCCTTTGATAGTCTTTCAGTCAAAGTGTAGTTCTCTGTCCTTAACCTTGTTATATGATCTTCAAGTTTTCTTGTCATCCACGATTTTTCACGGCTTAACTCATACAACTGGTTATCTTTTTCTGATTCCTTTGATACTTCCGAGGACAATGCAAACTTCTCTTTTTGTAACTTTGCAATTTCATCTTTAAGATCGCTAATAGTTTTTGATGTTTCACACTTTAGCTCTTGCAACTGCATCGTCTTCGATGCCTTTTCATCCATGAGAATCTCCATTTCTCTTTTCATGCTCTGCACTTGGCTCGCTAATAGAGTTACTCGCTGTTCCTTCAATTCCAAAGCTATGCTCCCTGTTGATTTCCTGCATCATTATCTTTAGCTCATCAACCTCAAAAGTCAGAACTTCATTGCTTTCTTGACTGTTTTTTAAGCTTTCCTCTAAGTAATCAACATCATCCCATAACGCTCTTCTTTCCGCCATAACTTCTTCCAAGAGTTCATTTCCTTCTTCCCATTTCTGCTCCTTTCTCTGGAAATCACGTTTTAAATTTTCCAGCTCTCTTTCTTTGTATTCCCCCTCAGACTGCAGTCGCTTTACCTTTACTTTGCTCTCGTCCAGGTCAGCCTGTACAGTTTCGATCCTCTTTCGGTACGTTTCAAGTTCGTTGTTAGCGACGAAAATCTGTATCTCGAGGTCGGTTTTTTCCCTTTTTAGTTTCCAAAATTCCATTTCCTCGTTTTCTTTATGGAGGTTTGGTTCTTCTTCTGAGGAACTGTCTTCCGATCGTGATGTATAGTCTTTTCTACTGTCTGGTATAGCAGTTTCTAAAGCCTTAGACAACTCTTGTTGGATTAAATATTCCGATATATTTACGACTGCTGCTACCGATCGCTGATATCTTGATAAGGCGCAGCATTCACTGAAATTTTTCTCGTCTTCTTCATTCTCAGCCCTCTGTAAACTCTTAGACCTGCTTTCCTCTGTTCGTATGCCTCCCTCGACTTCATCAAGGAAACAGTCAAATTTATCCTGTCGAGGCACTTCCTCGTTACTATAATTTCGGTTACTGTGTTCGCTGTCCACTGATTCGTCAAGTATGGAGTCTGTGTCTCGCAGTGTTAGATTGGCCTCCCCAACCTCTGGTAAACGAAACAATGGCCCAATGGACACTATAACAATTTCATTATTGTCATCGATTCTCTTTCTCTGTCCGTCAGAACAGTCATATGTTTTCTGCTTTTCTTTCACAGCGTCACTGTAAGACTGCTCTTCCAATTCCACTTTAGCGGAGGCATCTGAATCTAAAGCTATATGTTTTTTGTTTTCAACCTTGGTCAACATCTCTCCTAACTGTTCAACTTCCGTTCCATTCGTGTTAAATCCAGGAGAGTGAGCTGCTTGGACTTGCTTGGGCTCTGCGATATCTGAAGTGGTATCGACGTGTGGTTTAATTTCATTCACTTTCGGGGTTTCATCAACTTTGTCTTTCACCGCTGTATTGGTAGCCTCCATGGGCTGATTTATACACTTAGAAATCTCTGCAGTTTCTTCCAAAGCCTTTGAACTCTTACCTGAGAGTTTCTCAAGTTTGCTAGCAAATTTTCGCATCTGTTTTTCGATCTTCTTACGTTCTTTTTCTTCTAACTTCTCTCTTTTGATCGCCTTTTTTTCCAGTCTCTTCAACTGCCTCAGTTCTTTCCGCTTCTTTTCTAGCTCCTTTACACCTTCGTACTCTTTAATCTCGTGAGGTTCATATAACACTTTGTTGCCGATGTCTGTGTTTCTGACGGTTTCGTTTTCTAGGGTGACATGTTTGAATCTCTCACTCTCTGGACTTTCAATTGAATTCTGATCTGGTCGATCAGTCTCATCTGTTGAGTCATTTTCATCAGCTGTCTGTTCTTGATATTTACGCTGTTCGGCTCTTATCTTCTCCAGTCTATGCGCCACTTTGATCTTTTTCTTGTCCATCTTCTCTCTCCATTTTTTGTCCTCGGGCTCTCGACCTTTCTCCATCTCATCTAAGAGTTCCAGGTCGTCTTTTATTTCATCCTGTTTCCGTCGCATCTCCTCAATCTCATTTGCAACGCTATCTTCCCTGGCCTGGCTCTGTTTGATCTCCACTTCTATCTTGTTCATAGATTCAATAGCCTCTCTGTTTTCCTCCGCAAACTGTGCCTTGAGCCATCTGAATTTTTCGCCCAGCTCAGCCATTTTCCCTTTGTATCCGCTGGACTCAGTGAAAGAGCTACAGTCCAATTTTTCCTCATTCAAAACATTTTCTTCCACCTTGTTCTCTGCATCAAACACTGGTTGCAGTCTAATATTTCGCGCCGATCTTGTAACGGTGGCGTCACCTTTCATGATGTTTATGTTATCCTCTCTTTCTTCTCGCTCCCTGCATAAAATTAAGTTCATAACGGTCAACCACATCGAAGTCTCTAAAAATAAGCTTCCTTGGGGAACTTGCTCATAAGTTTATATAAGACGCTTCATCAAAAGATCGGGAACTTCGAAAATCACCACTATAAGAAATTTAAGACTGAGAAAAACCTTCAGGCTTTGAGAACCCTGTCATCGTTTTGTTAACCAAAATAAGATAAAGCTAGCCCCTTCCACGTTTACTGATACCTTATTTACCTAAGTAAATATACAAAATCACTCTTTTGCTCCAATTTTTGGCAGTTCTGGAACTGAGTTCTACATCGAAACAATTCAATAGGCAAAACCAGGTGACAAATGACCTCACAGGTATATTGCAACGCGGCCTATGCGCAAAGAAAAGCTTGACGCCAGAAACACCTTTTGCTTAAAACTTGAAACTCATTAGATGTAATTAACATGATGTTTCACTGAATGGGGAGAGTTTAGAATACCAGAAAGCTTGGCGGTTACGATGTTGTATCACATGCATACCCCTACCCTACTGGCCTCAGAAATGAAATTCAGAAACAAGAGTTCACGGACTGTAAAAAATAAAAAAAGAGTAGATGTGAATACTAACTTGTACTCCTCTCTTAGCCATAGGGGTTCATTGGACATTGCTTTCTCGTCGCTAGATTGTGAGTGACGTCCAAAGCCGTCACCAAACTCGCTGCCACTGAAATTTTCTTCGGCCCCCATACGGAGCTCTTCCTCATGCACAGGTGTAGCGTTACATTCAAAATCTGGCGTGACTTCCTTCGCCATGGCTGCGGATGATTCCTCGCTAGCTGAGCTTTCTTCTCGCGATTCTTTCTCATCCTTGCAGACCTGTTTATTTAAGAATAATATGCGCTTTTTATAGCAGCTGTTGAATTTCTGGACATCACTTAGAAACCTAATCTTTCGGATTCACGAAGATGGGAAGCGTTGACAACATTAGCAATCATGACGCTAATTTCCAGGTCCTCCAGAAGAGACAATATTTGTCATTGTGAGATACTTCACCTACGATATTTGCTCTTATTATCCATCTACACCTAGACGAGTACAAATAACGCCATAGACGAGTACAAATATCACGCGGTATTTGTACTCGTCTATTGTAGAGTACCGGTTAAACAGGTTTTCTTCCATCACGCAAGCGAAGAATTGGATTGTAGGTACGGAAAAAAAAAACAAATGGCAGACAATTTGAATCATATTTCCGACGACGAAGAGTCAGAATGGCTGGCAAATATAGATCCAAGTTCATTAGATGAATCGAACGAAGAAAAACAGCTTGACGAT